AATCTTACAATCTTATATGTTTTCTTTATGTCTATATACAATTTTGATAATCATAAATAAGCTTACTTTTCAAGTGTTTTGTAACACTACAACATTTTTAAGGGAGAGCATATGGTCGCCACCATGTCCATCCGTCCGTCTGTCCTTCTGTCCGTCCGTTGTCTTGTCCGTAGCATAACTTGAAAACCCTTGGAGATAATTTATTTAAATTTCACATAGTGGTAGAGGACGTCGAGGTTGAGTGCAATGTACAACTCTATTTTGCTTCGTTTTTTGAATAATCTTCCCTTTAAGAAATCTATTGTGTGGGATATAACTCTAAATCTATAAGTGATAACAACATGAACTATGTAGGTTGATAGATCTCAATGGGTAGCTGTGCAGTGTTCAAGAACCGTAACTCTTCCATATCTAATTTTTGAGTTATTACCCTTTGTTTATTTTTACACTTTGAACTTTGTCCGGAAGATAATTCTAAAATTATAAGAGATATCAACATGGAACTTTGTAGGTAGATAGATCTCATTGGGTGGAAGTGCACTGATAGGGAGATGTGAAGTGCACAAGAAACGTTACTCTGTCTTGCCTCATTTTGGAGTTATTGCCTTTTGTTCATTTTTTACATTTTAAACTTTGTCAGGGATATAACTCAAAAACTATAACAGGTATCAATAAGAAACACTTTGTAGGTAGATAAATCTCATTTATTAGAAGTTCAGTGCAAAGAACAGTTACTGTGCCTTGCCTCATTCTGGAATTATTGCACTTTGAACTTTATCCAAGGATATAACTCTAAAACTACAAGAGGTGTACTTTACTGTGTCAAAAAACCTATTCGGGGAGCATCACACGGTCAAACAGGGCTCTTGTTATGGAATAAAACGGAATCGTAAATAAAGCAAACAATCGTACTTATAAGCTCATTTTCTGTACGTTGCCCGAACTGTAGATATACCAGCTATTCGCATTTTAACAATTATAATGTCACAATTGAACTTAATTACGTTACAATTAAAATACACATATTGGATTATACCATAAGAAAAGTGTCCCATCATTTTTTTACAGTAATGGGCACTTTGACAACAAGAGGTCTCAGTTTATTGTTAGATCTTTTGCATGTTTGTGTACACACATTCCAATTGTCTGTAAGTAATAAAGAAATAAAATTGAAATAGAATATTTCCAAGAGCTTCTGTCATTATCTGTTTAGTTCGGGTCTTAAAAATATCAATGCTCCAAAACAGACATCTATCGGCAAGTACACGGACTAATCAGCCAACAAGAGAAAAAAAGAAAGTACATATACAGAATTCTATGCATATCGCAAAATATATAGTTCACAACATGAAAAGTTATACTAACAAAAAAATGTTTTCAGAAATTTTAAACGACATGTTTGCCGTTCATAATATTGCACTTAAGAAATAGATAGTAACTTGTTTCTTTGCCATAAACACTAACATTTTTCAAGAATATAAATAATTTGAAAGCAATTAACAAATCAAAATAGTTAACTATATATGTTTTCTAAATATGCATATTATGTCATGATGTCTTTGCATGTATCGTCATTATAGTATTTATCAATCTGACCAATGAAAATCTATGTCAGTAGGAGCTTTATGTTCCATCATATATATATTATTTTGGATATTTATTTTCGAAAAGATATAACAAAATTTCATAGAATGCATAATTAGAAATAAAGATATAACAAAATTTCATAGAATGCATAATTAGAAATATTTCTAATTATGCATTCTATGAAATTTTGTTATATCTTTTCGAAAATAAATATCCAAAATAATTCACACGCAGAATACCAGCTTACAAATTTTACAATTCATCGGATAAACATCATTCAATATAATTGGAACGGAATATCTTTCTAAGTACTCATTATCAATTTTCCAACTAATTCGTGAATGTCAGAGTTACAAAATATTAAAACAAACATCCAACAAATAATTTCACTATGCAGTTAGTCTGTATTCATTATCATTGTTCAATATCACTATATACATGCATGATTTAGATAATTCGATTACCAAAGTAAATGGTTGGATGATTTAACACATAACATGAAAAACCATTGTGTAGACTCTCCATTTCTAAAATCTATTGTGTCAGCATTTTACTATATAGATAGAATTGTCCAGTTTAAGGTACTTTAAGTGATTTCAGTCAATGTTTCATTATTTGATTATTATATGATCTAAAAATATCAAAATCAGAGTGATAAATTTTGTCACGTTTTTATGATGTGTGAGTTAATATGAACTCAAATTTTAAATGTTATATCTGAAAAAAGTTGTATAACATATATTATATATGCCAACAGTGACATATTTTCATAACTGTTAATTGCATTTGTTGGTTTATTTTGAAAAAAAAATATGATAAACAAGATCGACAAGGAAAGGCGGCGTTCAATGACCGCAACCCCCACCCGACCCAGCAACAAGAGCCAGCGGCAATGAGCCAAGGAGGACCCCAAACAAAAAACAGGACAGAGCACAAGGGCATGGGCAGGTTAACCACTAATATCATAAACAATTAGTTACTAAATTGCACTTTATCTGTTACATGGGTAATTAAAGGAAGCCTCATTAAATATATGTATTTTTCATAGAAGGAACTAAAAGAAAACAAATAAATGATTGAAAATAGGCCCATAAAGTCAAAGGGCACAGGGGAAGGGGACAGGAGATCAGGGGAAGGGAGGAGATAAATAAAATAAATAAAAACTAGGGGCAAAAGGGAAGATACTTACCGTAGACGAGAAAACAACAAGGCACACGAGTGTCACCAAAACAGTATGAAACAACATAGACATACATCTGAGGAACACAGAGGGGCGCCGCCTTGGAACGGTCAGCAGCATAAATACTGCTGGGGAGTTTAAACCTGTTAATGGTGCATTAAACCTCGCTCTTAGCCCCACCATGTTCCTATTAACAAGACAGTGAAAATAAAATAAATCCCCGCCAAGTGAAATTCTAACAGTTGTCATAGTTACAAAAGGTTAAATAAGTAAAACACTAAAATGATCATGTTGAAACATATAAAAGTAAACCCAATGACCATAACAAAAGTACTCAATGTCCTTAAGGAAGACAGAGCAAAATGAAAATCACCTACAAGGGCCCGACGAAGCAAGGCAGAAGACGAACATTAATACAATTCAGTCCCAAAGGGCTTTATGAACTATCCATCATAGAGTCTCCCACTTGGTCCGTCAGATGCAATCAAAAGAGGAAAGCGTAGTGTCCTACTGTAAAAGGGTTGAACACTAGTATATCTTAAAATAGTAGGGTCATAACCTCTTTTAATAAAACATTAAATGATTTTAGTAAAAACAGCAGAAAAATTACCATGACCCAAAATCTTACGAAGTTTTTAAATCACATCGCCATAAAAACCAGGCTGGCTAATCCCTTGTCGCAGAAGAGTTTTTAAATCACTATTGAATTTAGAAATTAATTCAAAGTTACGATTGTAAAATTTAGTAAAATAATTCCGTAATTTATGATAGCGATAGCCCTGTTTTAGAAGCTTGCTGGTAATAAAAATATTCCGCTCGTTGAAATCCTTTACGTTGCTACAAGCTCTGGCGAATCTAATTAACTGAGAAACATAAACCCCGGGAGATGTTGCATGGGGTGCGTCTCCATCTAAATGTGGATAATTAACTATACAAAAGTCAAAGTCATCTCTTTTATCATAGATTTTCGTGTGGATAGAATTGTTGTTGATAGCAACACGAAGATCCAAAAATGATGTACTAAAATTTCAAGAGTTCGTTTTATTAAGTTGTAGTTCATGCGGATAAATGTCAGACACCATTTGATCAAAATAAGGATTAGATTAAAAGATATCATCAAGATATCTGGAAGTATTATTAAATGCGACTATAACATCTTGTTGTTTATCTTCAGAGAGACTCAACATAAAGTCTCTTTCATAGCAGTACAATTTTACTTTTTTTTAATACATTTTAAAATTCTGGAAACAAAGTTTGTTTTTAAGTGTAAACGTTTATCCTTACTTGTGCTGGGACGTTTATGTTCCTTAAAAGAAGTGGGATAACCCAAATTTCTATTATGTGGCATAATCGACAATAGGATATGATTAGCCGAATAGACTGAATTTCAGCAAATTTTGCCCTCAGGCAAGTAAAACAATTGCTTGTTACTGTTTTAAGATATTTTCCTTTGAAAATGACCTGAAAGATAAAAAAGGGAAGAAGGATGGTGAGCCTCATTTTTTCAATTTGTTTAAATCATGAATCCTTTTCATCATGCTATGTTTAAGAAAATTGTCTGCGCCTGTTTACAATTACATCCTTTGACATTCTAAAACTATTAACACTGTTAACTAGAAACATTCTAATTTTAAATATCGAGAGTCATTGATTTCCAAATTTTACTATTTTCTCTTTCACTCATATCTTTAAAACAAAATGTTTGCAAGCATACTTAATTTCAAAGATACAAGATTTTCTCATATTTAATGCTTAAATCGTGAAGCAAATAATTTTAATATCTACAGTCATCATCTAAGTGTCATTTTCGTACTACCATGTTCCTCAAAAACAGACATTTAATTACAGCATTTGCCTTTGTTGTTATAAATCACAATCACTTGATTACATGATAATTGATTTCTTTACATTTTGTAGAGTTTGTGAACTAAAAGAAGGCATAATGTCTTGGTATGCCAGGACATGTTGATAAGCAACAACACAAAAACAATTATATATTATCAACACCAAAGTCTGGACCTAAAACCTCCGTACTTCATAGATATCAACACGTGATAATATTAAACATAAGAGCATGTCAGCGAATCGAAGATGGCAGTTTATAACAAAACGGGAGACAGGCATACGTAAAGAAAATAAGGTAATATGAAATAAGATTGAAGTACAAACATCAAAGATTCAAACAGTATTTGTCTGTTGTATTTTGGATGCTCTATGTCCCTAAGAATCAAATTTATTGATGACAGTCTGATTCAGACATCTTTTGCATGAGTTGTTCGTTTATAATTCGTGCATCGGAAACACATTCGTCTAATATGGACCTTAATACGGAAACAGTGCAACCATAAGATATCCCTGCCGCAATAATACTTCCAAGTACAGGGAGAAAGAAAGCTGTAACTTTCTCAGCAACTTCTGATAAAGCCATTTTGCTCACAACAATAGCAATCAAACGTGTTGACGCCACTGCTAACTGTCTTGTTATGTTCAAACGTTCTTTAAGACTTTCGACAGTTATTTCTAGTGAATGTGCATTTTCCTGCAACGAGTCATCATTAAGGCCAAACTGTTGTTTGTAAAATTTGACTTCTCCCATTACTATTGCTGTATCTACAGCAAGACTCACTCCTGGCACAGGGACTGCTCCTCCAGCTGCTGAACCTAGTGCTACTATCATTATTCTTTTTCTAAGAGCACTTCTCTTTTGATTTATTATATTTTCAGTGAGAATTGTCAATGTTAATGTCATTGCTTCCTGTTTCCATGTTGGCGCTTCTTTAATCATCGTTTCTACGAGGATTGGAAAATCATAATCTAGAACAAAGTGGTTGTCGATTAGGTAAATTTTGACGTTTTCAAAATGTTCTTTTGCTACGTGTTGTGTCATTTTTTGACGAACTTTATTAACTGTGTCAGATTTACTAGTTCCAGGGTAATCATGTGTGTCATTTTCTACATCTGTATTCATTTTTGTGCGGATAAAAAAGAACTTTTTCTTAATTTTTTTGACTTCATTTGCCAACCAAATATCATTTTCTGTAAAACGAGTCGCTGTTATTATAATAAAAAAATCATACGTTTGAAATTTGACTTTTTCTAAATACGTTTTTTTCGGAAATTTCTGTGTACCCATTCCCGGGAGATCCCAAAGAGCAACACTGTTATTGTTTGGGTGCATGTATTTAGTTGGTTCTTCAGTTGTTTCATTTACGCCAACCGCAGCTGCACCTTCAGAATTTGCTTTAAGTCCTCTATAACTGTTTATAAATGAGGACTTACCAACCCCGGAATTTCCTGTTACAGCAATATTTACTGGTACATTTCTCCATTTGTCTATGTCTTCCTCAATTTTTTTACTTAATTTTGTCATTCCGCCACTTTTAAAAGCTTCTTCGTATTCAACAGCTGTTGTTCGGTCAAAGTCGTCAAGATCTTGGAAAGCTTGTGGCATAGGCTTACTTGTAGATGCACCCATTTTGTAGATATTTTAAATAGCAACCTGAAATAATGGTTTACAAAATAAAGAAATTACACTACCATTCCTTTATATATTTGTCACATGATCAATAATTTTGATCAATATAACAAATGATATACATTTTTTCCTGGTATTGAACAATTAAATTTTGGAAGGGAAGTGATTTACAGAAACAAAATGAGCCGCGTCATGACAAAACAAACATAATGGGTTTGCGACCAGCATGGATCCAGCCCAGCCTGCGCTTCCGCGCAGTCTGATCAGGATCCATGCTGTTCGCTTACAAACCCCATTACACGTAGAGAAACTGATAGCAAACATCATGGTTCCTGATCAGACTGCCTCCGTGGGATGCGCAAGCTGGTCTGGATCCATGCTAGTCGCAAACCCATGGTTTGGATCCATGCTGGTCTTTAACTCATCATGTTGGTTTTGTCATGACGTGGCTCAAATAATGAATCTTTCTGAATATGTTATATAGATGCGTTTTGCCTTTTTATGATTTCAGAGTGTAGTGTATTTCTGAATTAAGGTATGACCTCTACGTTGTAAGTATGGATGCATGTGCATATGTGGTGTCTCAGTGACATCGATGTTTTAACGATTTTGAGTATTTGGTTATCTATATTAAAATAAATGTAACAATTTATTATTTTGAGGGTAGATTTATGCATGCCTGTGAGATCCATCCAAGTAATTTAAAGAATTTATGATTTCTTTGCTTATTATGAAATTGTGTTTACGGGAATTTTCTATTTATTTCTTCCGCATTTGAAAGATTTGAGTTTAAACGCGAAATTAAAATGTTGCTGACATACTGACCTTATCCATATTTTTTATCAATTAATTATTTTTTTTGTTACTATTTTTATTTTTCCCATCTGGACAGACACGGTACATGTAATACCGGATGACTTTTAAACGCAAAATGTAACATAAAAAATGTACACATATTTTATTTGACTTCCCCGTTCATAGGTTTTGTTTACTTTCATATTAGATCTATAAGCAGCTACAATGGTGATCAGAAGATCAACGTTAGACAATGATACAAAGTCTTGTCAGTGGTATGAATTTTCCGTCACCTCAGCAGTTAATGAATATGAGAGCGATATATATCAATAGTATGGGGTATATAATTTTATCATTGTTGAAATAGCCTAAAATGTTGAGGAAACCAACGTCAAACTACAAGATGATGTAAAAACGTTTTTGACAGATATTGCAAATACCTCGAGAGAAGGTAGAAGGCATTACGCCTGATCGTGTTCAGAGAATAGGTGCAAACATTCCTGGTAATTATAAGAAAGAAATTTCTTGCTGTTTTCAAGGACATCAACATCGACAAAGACTTTGTTATATTTTTAGAGGCAATATCGTTAAAAAAACAAGTTATTACATGCACAACCAGAAACCACTGGAGGTATTCGCATATCGACGTAAGCTACTACCTATTATGAAAAAAACAAGAGAGGACAACAAATCAGCTAATATAAAGTATAACCGCTTTGTAGTTGAAGGAAAGGTTTACGGAAAGACTCTTCTACGGACTTGAATCACGGAAACAGCGACTTAGATTTCAATCTATATTTCTACGTTAATTTCTACAGAATATATATATAATCAGTTCAATAAAAACAAACGTTTTTTTGTCGATGTTTTGCCCTCTTCGGGAAAAATACATTTTTTATACAAAATATAAAAATTGAAATTGTAGACATAGTATTGTATTACAGAAGAGCATTATCGGATGGAAATAAAATAGATGTTATTTGGAACTCAGCTAATCCATAGGTACAAAGTTACAGTTTCACGGTGCACTACCCGTCACAATAGATAAGTCAACCTGTTGTGCTTATTTTCGAAGTTGTAATTGTAAAAGTTTGTTTGTACCTACGGATTAGCTGGGGGAAGTATTCCTTATTCCGGATTGAAACTATAGTATGGATAAAACTTGACAAATCGAATTTTGCGTTGGAAAGAGAAATATTCATATGTGGAACTAATATTCTATGTGAAGTTTGTCCTCTGTAAGATGTAACTAACTATAATTTGTCCGTAATACTAGAGAATGGTGTCAAAGATTTTCCCGACAAGGTTCAGTTTTCGTACCTGGGACATGAATATTAGAATAGTTATAAGGCCAGACTATTGAATATGATGCAACAAATACTTTCATAGATTAAGACAATTATGTTCCAGATTTGCCAAAAAGCCGTTTATCAATTGATAAAGCGGTTAACACCAAAGGGCTTGACTAACTTGATATGTGCAAGTCTACTGAATTGAGAGTATGTTACAGGCGTCTTGAAAAACTAGGTCATGCACCTATTGCGGCAACAAAGGTTCAAGCAGGATTGAATACTTACTATCGAGAGAATGAGACTTTTCATGCATAAGTAATAGTGAGATCATGAGTTTTAACGAATGTCGGATCATTCCCCGATATCAGTTACAATACGTACTCAAGAGATCAATGATCAAGACATTAGTGCACATACTGAACACACACATGTGAAATGTGATGATTAGAATAAATGTTAGTTAAGACGAAGATCTATAGCAAAATTGTCAGATTTTAATTCGAGGTTTCAAAATCTAGACCACTTCTATGACAACAAATAATTGCGTAGAAAATTGTGTCAAACTAAAAATGAACATGCTTTGTAGCTGTTTATCAAGAAAAGAAATATTTTAGGCGATAAGTCTATTTTTAAAGTAATTTTTTAAAAGTTTTGTAAAAGTAATGGATTTGATCAGACTTGTGATGTGAAGAAAAATGAGCATTTAATAGCATTACCATTTGTACTTTAGTCATACCCATAGCTGCATTACTGGTACTGGTATTGCAGTATGTACTGCAGCGATTTTGCAATGTACATGTACTCATACTGAATACCTCTTACAAAAATGTTCCTACTACTGGTACTGGTACTGCATTACTGTCTTAAAAAGTGCTACTGCTATTGCATTACAAGGCAGTACTTTTGGTTTTGATAAAATATCATCAATTTTTCTCATAAAGTAAAGCTGTAAATTCTATGTAATATTTTATTTTTGTGAACAAGTATGTTATAAAATCTTTAGATAATTTACTGCAATATTCTTTCAAATGTTAACATAATATTCATCATAAAAAGAAGCATCAAAGACTTGAAGTAAACATTGAGCTAAACAGACTCAATAACTCTTTGCGTAAATAACCTTATTACAATTTTTTATTACTTTGTATATACTAGTTCAAAAGAGCTAAATAGACACTTATTAATTGTTTCTATTCTAAATCCTATGTAACAAAATTTACTAGCAATTTCATTTGGATCATAAGTATTATAACATATCGTGTCATCAGAAAAAGTAGAACCTTTTTTAAATATAATAATTTTAATTTTAGAAACACTTTAAGCTTCCATTTTATACTATACAAATACAAAATATGTATACTTTGTTCCAGTTGTTCGGCTGAACTTTCAAAAATAACAATGTCATCAGCATACAACAACATAAATATTTTGAACATATTAACATCTATTCCGTCTGCCTTGTTATGACTAAATATATCTTATTTATCATTTAATTTAACAAACATGGAAAATAAATAGCGAAATAAACACTCCCTTTGCCTCATGCCAAGCAGACATGTGTATTCATCATTTAACTTAATGCAATACTTAACCCTAGACTTAACAGACTCGTAAATTGATTTTACAATTTTTAAAATATCACCTATTAGTCCAAACTATATCAACTTGAACCAAAGATTCTCACGAACTTCATAATTAAAAGCGTTTGTATAGTCAACAAATAAAGTAAAAATTGTTTTCCTTGATTAGAATATGGATTATTCAGCCATTAAGTACATAAATATAATCTATAGTACTCATATTCGTACTAGAATACGCTGTGCTTTTATTTTTACATTATATTTTGTCGACCCAAAATGAGTTTACCTAGACTGCTTAAAAGTGTTATACCACGATAATTATTCACATTGTTTACACTCTCCTTTTTTATGCAGTTGAATCACAAAGCCTTTAGACCACCTTGTCGGGAAAAAAATTGTTAGATAATATAAAAACACATTTTTCCAAACATCTTTACCTGTAGTAAAACAGTAATAAAACAATCTTGACCCCAACCCCGACCTATTATTTCTTAGTTGTTGAATAGCTGTTCTAATTTCAGTAACAGATATACACGTGTTTAATTAACTGAACATAATTTTAAATTCATCACTTTCATAATTTTCAATAAAATATAATATAAAATCCTCATAAGGTGAGAAAAATACCTATCATCTGGATTGTTAACAGCTTTGAAATACTTCTCAAACATCGATATTGATATATAAGACTATATAATACCCGCAACCTCTTTCACAAACATGCATTTTTGTGTTTTTAACTTCGCAATTTATAAACTTTGTCTTTATCGTTATCATATCTACATTTTCTAATCGTTGACTTATAATCTGACCTTGCTTTTACCGTATGAACTCTCGTATTATCGTTTTGATCCATTCTTTATTGATAAAGACATACTTAAAAATAGTTTATCCTTTCAAAACATTCTTCGTTAAACCAGGGCTGCGTGCCTTCAGAGTTAAAATAACTATTATTATATGTATATATGTTTTTTAAGAAAAGGGGACGCTTTCCCCCCCCCCCCCCCCAAAAAAAAAAAAATACCTTCAAAAACATGTATACAATTATCAATCTCGTCATGTGACATGCTAGCTATTATATTACTCGTCAGATCATGTTAATATCTTAAGCTTTTGTCTCTGTCTAAGTTTTCAATATATTTATCTATTAAATCATCTTTCCATACATACGCTCAAAATCGCTGTCATCACAAATATCACAATTATTTTCCGTTATACAGTAAAATGAATATGATACTGACAATAAACAATGATCCGATAAATATTTGGTAAAGCAATATAAAACATAGAAATATTATGGAAAATATTATATATATATTGCATAATACACCGC